ACATCTATCTCTCTCTCTCTCTCTCTATCTATCTATCTATCTATCTATGTTTTCCTGAGTGCCATTATCTATTCATTGATTGGTGTCACAGTTCCCGATGTTCGATGAGCCATAACATTATGACCACTGAGAGGGTATTGATGGACATCCATTATCTGGTTACAATGGCACCTGGACGTGGGGGGATATATATTACAAGTATTACAATGGCACCTGGAAGTGGGTGGGATATATTGGGCAGCAAGTGAACATTTTGTCCCTGAACTTGATGTGTTGGAAACAGAAAAAAAAGAAGGCCCAGTGTAAGGATTTAAGGGATATTGACAAGGGTGGAATTGTGATAGCTGGATGACTGGGTCAAAGCAACTCTAAAACTGCAGCTCTTGTGGGATGTTCCTGGTCTGTGGCAGTCAAGACCGAACAAAAGTGAAACAAGGAAGGAAAACCAGTGAACCAGCAACAGGGTCATGGGCCGCCAAGTCTTATTGATGCACGTGGGGAATACTCCTACATGAAAAGGGTAGTCCCTGATGGCAATGGCCTCTTTCAGCAGGATATTGCGCCCTGCCAAACTGTAAAGTGGTACAAGGATGGATTGAGGAGCACGAGTTTGAGGTGTTGACTTGGCCTCCAAATTCTCCAGATCTCAATACAATGAAGCAGTCCGAGCCATGGAGGGCCCACCTTACAACATACAGGATCTGCTACTGACGGCTTGGTGCCAGATACCACAGCATACCTTCAGAGTTCTAGTGGAGTCCATGCCTTGATGGGTCAGGGCTGTTTTGGTGGCAAAAGGGGGACCTACTCATTATTAAGCGGGTTGTCATAATGTTACAGCTGATCGGTGTATATTCGAATTGATAAGCTTGCCATATAAATGCCAATTATTAATCAATTGCGACCACTTTTCCTACATTGGGAATCACACACATGACTGCAAATAATCATCAGTAACTAAGCAATCTACCACTCATGTTCAATTGTGAAGTCAAAACTGGCCAATAAATATACAGTTTTAATACAGTGGAAAGATCAAATCGAAAATGTGAAAAAAACTATAGCAATTCATAGAAACCGATTTTTCAATAGCGGTTCATTTGATCCCTTAATCTTGTGGTCCAATATAACCATCATTTTAGGCTGTCAACTGCTTTGCAATTTCCCCCAAAAATGGAAAGTTCAATCACTCTATCACATTGTGTATGGCCAGCAATAGGGTTCTTGGCCAAGAGTACAAGGAACCATTTATGTAAGATGCTGCTCCATATTCCCTCACAGTCTAATGCTGACCACATCATTTGATGATAGCAATTTTATAGTTTCAATCAATTTTCAACCACAAACATTTTCTGGTTTCAAGTGACCAAACAGTATAAAAATTGGAAATAGCATAATATTTTTTAGGGGCTCTAAGGTGGTTTTGATAACTTCCACCACGTGTTTGTGGATGGAAACAGTGAAATGCAACTATATGTCTAGTGCAGGGATAGCCAAACTTAGGCCCTCCAGCTGTTGCGGAAGTCCCGTAAGGCATTGCAAGGCTCTGACAGCCATAGACATGACTTCCAGAGTTTGATGAATGTTGGGATTTGTAGTTTCATCGCATCTGGAGGGGCGAAGTATGGCTACCCCTGGTCTAGGGCATGACTGGCATAGCATGCTTACCTTAGACTATCCAAAGGCATGTTGGCCTCAGATTTGCGGTGTTCTATCAAAGTTTGTGACTACGTTAGAATGTGTGACCGGTCACGTGGTCACACATTTTAACGTAATCCTGCCCATTTTTAAAGCGGTGGAATGTGTGACCGGTCACATGGTCACACATTTTACCAAAATCCCGCCCATGCCGGCATCGCAGATAGTATGTGCAAGAGAACTGATCTGCCCTGGAGCAGCTGATCGGTCCTGAAATGTCACTTCTATTAGCCATGTGCGATTCGTTTGGTTTTGCTGATCCTCGCTCCATGGCTCCGAGCACCAACAATCATCCCACGTTCAAAGGCTGTTAAACCGTGTTGTTTCCCCGTATCTTCAGAAGAAAATCACTTCTACTGTCGTGGTAAACAACCTGCTTCCCTATTTATAATGGTCTGGCCATCTAGCCACTTCAGCGCGAAATTATAGCTAATTATAGCTAATTTGCCTACAAACGTCAGGTGGTCATAATAAAGTGGCCACTCAGTATATTTATATATATATATATATATATATCATTGAAGGCTATGATAATATCCTGATACATAAGATTTGATCACGTTGCCTCAATGTTAAAAGGTTGTAATGTTCTATTGTAGTATTTTATGTACTAGCTCAGCCTTTCTCAACCAGGGTGCTGTGGCACCCAGGGGTGCCTTCAGGCTATCTCAGCGGTGCCTTGATATTTTGATGGTAAGACTTTGATGCAAAGGGGGTGGCTCTGATATCAAAGAGGGGCTCTGATGTAAAGGGCAGACTCTTCTATGAAAGGGAGGCTCTGATGGAAAGGGGGTTTTTGAAAGACGGGCTCTGATTTAAAAGTGGGGGATTGATGTAAAGGGAGACTCTGATACAACAGGTGGTTTCTGATTTAAAGTGGGGACTGTAATATGAAAGGGGGGCTCTGATGTAAAGAGGGGGACTCTGATTTGAAAGTTGGTCTCTAATATAAATGGGGGCTCTGAAATAAAGGGGGAGCTTGTGATGTGAAAGGAGGGGGCTCCTGATATTAAAGTGGGTACTCTGATGTAAAGGGTGAACTCTGATATGAAAGCTGGGCTCTGATGTAAAGGGGGACTCTAATGTAAAGGACAGTGGCATCACAAGGGGGGCCCACACCAGGTGACACCATCAGAGGGGGTAACTGACAGTCATTTTGGTTTCACCCCATGCTGTAAAGTTGGGCACTCGGTCATGGACCAAGAGCCCAACAGCTGCACGAGAGAGGAAAGGACCTGATGCGAAGTGGGCGGGGGCACCCTCCAGAAGGAAGGACAGTGTCAGCACCAATTTAGAGATGATTTGAAGATGTACTTTACAGCCGAGTGATACACAAATAAGATACATTCTTGTTAATAGTTAAAGTACTTGACAGTGGTGTCACAAGGGGGGTGCGGCCCACACCCGGGTGACACCATTGGAGGGGTGACACCTAAATGACTGACAGTCATTTTGGTGTCACCCCCTCTAAAAAGTCGGGCACTCGGTCATGGACCGAGAGCCCGACAGTGTCAGTAGAGACGAGGCGACCTGGCGGCATACCTCATCCTGCCTGGTGAACGTCCCCTCCTCTCTCTGCCGGCGTCCATCACCAAGATTCCCACATGTGCGGTCATCTAATTGACGCTGCGGCAGGCATCAATTAGATGACCGCACATGTGCGATGACGTCATTGCGCACGCGCGTGATGACTTCACACGCATGCGTGATGACGTTACTGCGGGGTATCACCCAGTCTCTACTCCGGGTGACACCCGGCCTCGGGACGCCTGTGGTACTTGAATGTATTTTTAAGATTTAACTCCTGAGTTTAGTATCATTGTAATCACTATATAACTGTACAATGTAGTACCCCATCTTCACCGCACGGTGTCCTCAGCGCCCTCTTTCTGAGACAAAGCCGGTTATGTTTATCTGTAACGTGTAATACCCTAAATCGCCCACAAGATGCCGACCAGCGCTCCGCCCTCTCTCCCTGTCCATTGTCCGCGGGCCCCGCCCCCGCCTCCTGGCCGCTGCGTGTCGCTGTTCTCTGGTGCGCGTCCCCTCCTCCTACCCATACTTCCTGTCGCC